GCTCCGAGAGCAGCATGGCGTGATGTCTTGGGTGCAGGAGCAGAGGCCGGCGAGCAGCGTGTGAGGAGAGATGTTGGCAAAGCAGGAGGGGAGAGGCTTGACTCATGGTAGCTCAGCAGACTCCGTTGGGTGCAGATAGTCCCTGTATTAAAGCGGTTGCTACCAGGAATCAGCTTTCAGTTATTCTGACACGGTAAATACACTTGGCTGGGATCTGGTTTGGGTTCGGCGGTGACTTCAAAACAACCATTTGGGTTATGAGCTCTGTGCTGAGGAAACCAGTTCAGACTGGCAGTCATTTCAGCTCATTTCCAGGATACTCTCGCTGCAATTCACTGTGTATTTCTAGAGCCCTCTCGCTTGAGGGCTTTAGTGCTGTGTGGAGGAAGGGCTAGTCCTTCGCTGCCATGAGGACTCGGCTGCATAGCGCGCCTGCTGTGATAAAGACAGTAAGAAACTCGTGGTTTTGCTCCTGATCTGGGGCAGGGGATGTGAAAGGTATGCTCTTGGTTCTCACATATTCCCTTTCCTCTTCCACGTCTCTGTATGTATTATAGACCAGTTTGAAAACTGTTCCCCTCTAGAAGGCGGCTGTACAAGAAACAGCAGCATGGACTGGAACTCGGGGTGTGCCCCTTTCTTTCCCAGAACCAGCACTTCCCAAGTGTTGGTAATTTATCTGTTACCACCTCTGCTGACCCTTTTGTGCCCCCTTTCCTCCTAACCACAGAGGGCTTGTTTGAGCCGAAGAAATACAGATGCTTCTCGTTACCTCTGCTCCTTTCTGCTCCTTTGCCTCCCTCCCATGCTGCCACGGAGGAGTATGCTCAGTCCCTGTCTTTCCTTTCTCTTCCCTCCCCTCACCTTGTGTAATGTCGTGAACGGAGATTCGCTAAGGTAAAGCCAGGCTTAGGATCGCGTTCCCTTCTCGTACCCTTACAGGGGAGCGTAGATCCTCTCGCGTCTGATGCTAACACCAGAGGTGTTTTGCCCTAAAGGAGTGTTAAAGGTGAATATCTGTAGCAGCGTAAAATCCAGGTAGCATCATGAAAAGTACGTTCTCTGTGTTCTTATTTTAGAGTGTCAAAGTAGCCAAATAGACTTGGGCATTAGAAATTGTCCTTTGAGTGATTTATGTCAGTGATGGCAACGCTTTCGATTTTAAGAAGATCGTACTGTTTGACATTCAGCTTTACAAAGCAAGGTGAAATTTCTGATTGGCACCTGTAAAATATTTCTGCTTTGTTTTTTTTCTTTCAGAGGATTATTTATTTCTATCTCAGACAGAGGCCATATAAGGTCAATCGTGAACAACTGGCCAGAGAACGATGTTAAGGTACTACCACTGTATAATTTTTTTTCTCGTTATTTAATCTCAGTTGAGCTTCTTAAGCTGCGTTAGTATTTGATGGAAATGTAAATACTAAATAATGCGTCTTTGGCTGTTTGACGATGATGGCAAAATACAGCTAACGAAGAGAATGCGTATCTTGAAGAGCAGTGTGTTATCCTAGATAAGAGGTTTATGGTTTGAGTACCCAGTGCTGACGCGAACTAGAGTTGCCAAACTGTTTCTTTTACTTCATTATTCCACCTTTTGGGGAGTTGGTGGGGGATGCACCTCTGCGCCTTACTTACCGTGTTACATAGCAATAGGAGAAGTGATCTCGTCCTCAGATTAGGACACAGAAGTGGTAGCTGGGAGGCCCGGATTTTGCCATTAAATCCTGTATGACCCAGTTGGGTTGAGAACCACAGGGGGAGAGGAGGTGAATGATACCTCCACAAACTTCTGGATGGCTGGATTCACAAGTGGAAATCATAAACCCGGGTTACAAGCTGCAGTTCCACGCGGCAGCTTGGATCCTTCCCACTTAGCTTTCAAGGATTTGGGCAGTGGATTTCAGCAAAGAAAAGCGAGCATAGCAGGTTCTAACATTAAGCATTATTGCTTCAAGTGAAATATTCCTTGTAATCGATTCTTTGTTTGACACTGCAAACATAGCTGAATTTTTGCCTGGAAAAAACCACACTGGTATTGCTCTAAACTTTATAAATTTCAGTGATCATCTATAATTTCACTTGCTTTTGTTTTCAGGCTGTTGTCGTCACTGACGGAGAAAGAATATTGGGTCTTGGAGACCTGGGTGTGTACGGGATGGGAATTCCAGTAGGAAAACTCTGTTTGTATACAGCCTGTGCAGGAATACATCCAGATAAATGCTTGCCTGTGTGCATCGACGTTGGAACTGATAACGCAGTGAGTTTGACTGAACTTTGCCTACCATAAGTTATCCCTATGAAAAGTAGTTATTTAAGAGGATTTAGTACTATAAGAGAAGATTTTTATGTGAGCAGTTTTATTTAAGATAAAACCAAATGTTTTATGTAAGGGTACGTGATTTGGAATTCACTATACAGTTACATATCGGTGATTGAAGAATGCCAGTTACTTTGTCAGTGAAACGGTGCATTTGGAAGTCATTTGGAATGCTGGAACACTGTAAAACTAGACAGCCAGGTTGACCTGACTTTAAGAAGCTGGAAATGTGAATCAGATTTATTAAAGCAGTTTATTGTTCACAGTATTGATTTGTTCCATTTTAAAAGCAGCCATCACCAACCTCAAGTGCCAGCTGAAATTACTGAACATTGATATAGACTGGAGGCAGTTACAGTGGCTATATAAATGCAGTATCTTTGGTGTGAAATGCGTTACTGTGAACTCTGGAAAGTGTATATTGAGGAAGTGATTCATCCTGCTGCTGTCTTTGATTTATTCTTTTTCAGACGCTCTTAAAAGATCCATTTTATATGGGCCTATATCAAAAACGGGATCGCTCACAGGTCTATGATGACCTAATTGATGAATTTATGGAAGCCATTACAGACAGGTATGACACGGAATATTCTGCACGGAAGTATGGCCAAAACTGCTGGCAAAAAAGCCCCCGTAACACACTGTCCTTGAAACAGTCGTTTAAGGAATAAGGATAGGACTAGAAGTCAAGAGACGTAGCTGTGTTTCTGGCTCTATCGTGATTTTTCTGTGTGACCTGGAACATGCCGCTTGTAGTTATGTGTGAAATACGCACAGAATGGAGATGGAACTATTTTAAGCAGTGAAAGGCCTGAGAAGGTCTTCTTTCCAAAGAGAATTGATTATGTGTGGGATTTGTTTCAAAAGGATTTTATTTCTTTATGTGTCTAGTGATAGGAATATTTGCCATGTTCTGTAGGTATGGCCAGAACACCCTTATCCAATTCGAAGACTTTGGAAACCACAATGCTTTTCGGTTTTTAAGAAAATACAGAGAGAAATACTGTACCTTCAATGACGATATTCAAGGTATACCCTTTGTTTATGTTCCTTAATGTAGATGCAAAAACCTTTCCTAAAACCGTAGTCTGCCATGTAGATCTGTTCAGCTCTCCTTAGATTTGTATTGCTTTTACAGGGACGGCTTCAGTGGCCTTGGCGGGACTGCTGGCAGCACAGAAAGCCACCGGTAAACCACTTGCAGAGCAGAAAGTGCTGTTCCTTGGAGCAGGAGAGGTGAGTTCTCTTAAGGCCTCTAGAGCAACAAGAGATTTAACTGTATATTTTCTGGTTCTGTGAGACTTGTGGGGATTCACATTCTCTGAATTCCACTGCAGAACTTTTTATAGAAGGCCAGCTGAAACACATTAACAGGAGGGACTACCTGCTTAAAGATGACTATTTGAAAGGTGTTTAATGTTTGCAAGGACTCAAGTGTTTCGCTTTCTTACAGGGACTTGAAAAAAGCATCAGGGACTTCCGTGTAGTTGAAGGGGAATTTACCATAAAATTATGATTTAGTAAGAAAGGGGGTAAGAACATCTTGTTAATGTTTATAGCATTGGAGAGAAGCACACAGTGGTTTCTTTTAGGAAGTTTAAATCAGTGGCTGTTTGCAGCAGACACTAGTTAGTTACTGGGGCAGCAGCGTCAGGACCAGCACCATGCTTCTTGGTATATCAGCAAAATTGCTTCTATGGTGCTGACAAAATAACTTAATTAGCTGAAAATTTCTCCAGCTGGGGAAGGTCCAGATGGCAGTAATTGGCCGATGTTGTGTTGTTGCCTGAGCACTGAGCCCTGCTCTGCACTTCCCTCTACCTGATTTCTCCTGCCAGACTTAGCAGCATGTGCAGTGAGCCAAGAGAAGGGATGTGGAGGGAAGCACTGCCAGCATCTCCTTTCTGCCCTCTGCCTGCAAGGCCTTTATTAAGGCAGCAGGAGCAGAGAGAGGTTTGGAAAGCAGTTGGGCACAAAACACTACGCCGTGGTTTCTTGCCAGGAGGGCTGCAGCACTAACTTGTTCTTATTGTCTGCTTGGGCTGCTTTATTGTGGCTGCTGAACTGGTATGGGCGTGGGGGCACAGCACCCAGAAGAGCTGCCTGCCTCTTTTCCCTGAAGACACGATGCTGTTGATCCCGGGAGCCTGCCCCCATCTAGGCAAACATTGCTTGTGTTTCGGAGCTGACTTGCTAAATTATTTTTGTGGGGGTGTTGTTTGGGTGGTGTTTGTGATGAGAGACCTCTTTTGTGACTTGTTAAAAATCAAAATCCTTTTATCCGCAAGGCCGCCCTGGGAATTGCAAACCTCATTGTCATGGCTATGATGGAAAGCGGTGTTTCTGCTGAGGAAGCCTACAAGAGAATATGGATGTTTGACAAATACGGTTTACTGGTTCAGGTAGGGGTGCACCATGCCTTGAAATACCACAATACAGACGGCCAGTGCTTTCCGTGTCCTTATCACAAAAAGAATCAACTTTTGATGTACAGGGCCGAGAACAAAAGGTAGATTCCAATCAAGAACCATTTACGCATCAGGCTCCAGAGCAGATACCAAAGACGTTTGTAGAGGCAGTGAATGTACTTCAGCCTTCAGCTATCATTGGTAAGTAAGGTTGGTTTTCTTTCTGTGCTTCCATCATTTGGTTATTTGCTGCATTTAATTTGCTAACGTGGCTCCAGGGAGGTTGGTGACAGTGATCTGCATTTCTGCTGGTGTAAATAAGATGAAAATGTAAGGTCAATTTTCTGCTTGAAAATATACTGAGCTGCAGGTTAGTTCTCAAGGCATCCTTCGTTGCAGCTGAGGTGCTCCTTCTGCATCTTGTGTCCTTGTTAACTGCTTCCTCTAGTCCTTGTCCAGCTGGTGTTGGACCTTTCTTAGAAGACTCTGAGCATGTTCTCAGGGACTGCGTGGCCACAATGAACTGAAGCTGTAATGAAGGGCACTAGGGTTCAGGAAAACAAAACTACAACCTTTTTCTCAGACACGGTCCCTATACCAGCAGCAGGGGAGAGAACAGTCACAAACACCGCATTTTCTGCTTTACAGGAATTCCCTAACTTGAGTAATTTTTTTTTTTTTTCTGACTTTCCTTCCCCCAGTCAGCTTCTCTGGCCAGAAGCATGGCTTGAAGGAGCTGTGTCATACTGCAGATCACCAATACCTGTTAGGTCACTGACATACATAGGTATTGATTTATAACTGGCTGTATGCAGAGGTCAGATGGGATTACAGGTATTTCCTGGTACAACTCTGCAATTTCCTTTGCACATAGAATCACAGAATCGTTAAGGTTGGAAAAGACCCTTAAGATCATTGAGTCCAACCGTTAACCCAACACTTCCAAGGCCACCACTAAATGATATCCTCGAGATACCCAACCCAAACCTGCCCTGGCGCAGCTTGAGGCCGTTCCCTCTCGTCCCATCGCTTGTTCCTGGGGAGCAGAGACCGACCCCCCCACGGCTCCAGCCTCCTTTCAGGCAGTTGCAGAGAGCGATGAGGGCTCCCCTCAGCCTCCTCTTCTCCAGGCTGAGCCCCCCCAGCTCCCCCAGCCGCTCCTCCCCAGCCTTGTGCTCCAGCCCCTGCCCCAGCCTCGCTGCCCTGCTCTGGCCACGCTCCAGCCCCTCCATGGCCTTCTTGGGGTGAGGGGCCCAGCGCTGAGCACAGCATTCGAGGGGCGGCCTCACCAGTGCCCAGTGCAGGGGCACCATCACCTCCCTGCTCCTGCTGGCCACACTATTCCTGATACAAGCCAGGTGCATGATTTACTTGGAAAATTTTTTTTGGCTGAGTATCTAACCTGAAGTTTGTAGCTGGTGTACAAATGTACACCATTTTTATGTATTTGTACCTATGTGTTTGGCTGTGGTCAGAAATACCAATATCGAGGGATGCTGCATTGCACAGTTAACACCCAGCTAGGATGAATCATCCGTGAAGAATGTGGAGTTCCCACTTCCTTATCCAGGGCAGTGATGAGTGTTCTTTACACAGATCAATACAAAAAAATCATGTAAAATAGGCTTTTGGAACGCATCAATTAGATGTTCCTGTGAAAATGAGAATTTTAAGCAGCCACTACCAGAGCAGTGCCTGGCTTCCATCTCCTGCTGCTAGGAAAGCCTGCGATGCTTTGCTCTGAGTGGGAGACTTCAGGGGTGATGTGAACTTAATCTACAGTCGCTGTCATCTGCCCTGAGACAGTCAAGTATTGATTCTATTTTTATGTGTTTCCATTTACTTCAGGAGTGGCAGGAGCTGGGCGGCTCTTCTCTCAGGATGTGATCAAGGCAATGGCCTCCATCAATGAGCGACCCATAATATTTGCACTAAGTAACCCTACAGTGAAAGCCGAATGCACAGCAGAGGAAGCATATACATTAACAGAGGTATGTAATGTTTAGAAATGTTGACCTATTGGCACTTAGTGATAGAACTGTTTACTGAGTGTGAGAACGCAAGAACTCAAATTATTTTATTATTACTTGGGCTCACTGACATAATAATACAGATCTTTCTTGTCTTCTGGCAAAAGTAAACGGAGGTGATATGAAAAGAAGTCTTGATTTTTAAATAATGACATTTTGCAAAGCTTAAAATACCCTAAATCTTGTTATTACTTTTTAAAAGAATGACCACTAGGTACTGTTTCATAGCTTTGATCAATTAACTATTTCCCACCACGCTTTTTAATTATTTTGGGTTTTGAAGAAACATCTTATGTTAACGTTGTAATAGAGACTAGGTCCAACCTTTAAAATGTAACGGCTGAGTAAAGTCCTTAAAGCAGGTAACGTCCTTGCGATCCATCCAGGAATTCTGCTCTGCACTCAGTCATTTCCTAGCGTCTGCAGGTCAGAACTCGTATCATTAACAGTGACCTGTGAAGACCTGTGCTTCCAGCGCAGGAGCCTGTGGTGGCCCTCCGTCCTCGTGTTCCCCTCTTGTACTGTCTGTCTCTCCTACGCTGGCACCACCAAACATTGAAAGGGTTAAACCAAGAATAAACACACCTCGTTCTGCACCGTGACCTCTAAGCCATTACACTGTGGGGTGCTCGGGAGGGTGGAGGTTGGGGTTTTGGGGTGAGTTTTTTAATAACACTATCACCAGCGCATCCAGACCTTGGGTTTGCCTTTAATGAAGCAAGTCTTTTATCCTTCTGCATAACTTTTTAGATAAAACTAATCATCTTTGAAGAGAGCCTGAGGGGAAGGAGGTGGGGGCAAGGGAGCATCAGGCAGGCAGAGCGTTAACATTTTGAACTGGTGTTAATGTGTTTGAATTTTAACATTTTGAACTGGCTGGTAATGCCTTTCCTTGACATCGTAGGCTCCAGCTCGCTGTGATCTCTCCACAGGGCCTGCCTGCAGACTTCAGGGGTGGGGCTTGTGAAAAGACAACTGTTCTTTTCTTTTTTATTTAAATACAGTCCCAAATCCAGTGACTCATATGTGAAAATGTGTGGGTGGAGACCTTTCTTTGCTTCTTGATGCAGAACTATGAACTCCTTCCTTCCGATCTTAGCGTGGCTCAGTTTCCAGCGTTACAACCTCAGCGGTGTTAGCTTCACATCGGGAAGGGCAGAACTCCATCGTCTCCATTTGGCTCCCAGATTCTTTTCCATGTTACTGGGCCCGTCAGCTCAGAGGGAACTCTTGCTACAGAGATTTGTAGGTCCAGAGCGAGCCCTAGGCAGGAATAACAGCCTCTGGACAACATCTGGACCTTAGCTTTTAATAGTAAATGAGAACACTTTTAAATGAAGATGGTTTAATCTCTCGGATTTCTTGCATTAGCCGGAATAGCAAGTTGGGCAGTGTTTCAGTCTATAAAATTAAATTCGAATATCTTGGATAGAAAGTAAACAAGAGTTAGTTATACAGCCGAGCCCTTAGCTGGTATAAATAAATGTTAAAACTACTGGCATCTCTGATGGCTGAGTGAGGCCAGCAGCACGATTAGAGGGAGAATCAGCCTCATTTTTGCTTTCACTTTTTATAGAATATCAACAGAGCAGTACGTGTTTTAAGGGAAGAGGCTCACTTGTTCCCCGGGGCTGTGTGTTGAGTCCCAAGGAGCTGGACCTCAGGGTACTTGTCGCTATCAGATGGGGAAGCAAGACCGTGCTGGTTAGATTCAGGTGTGGTAACATGTCTTGACTGAAGTAGCTGGGTGAGCATAGTGCTGTTTAAAAAGTTTGTGCCAAATGGAGAGAGGATCTTTGGTTTTTTCCTGTATTGGGTCCTTTTATTCATGATTTTCCATACGTTATTATTTCTAGACATGGGTTATTTGGACAATTAAATATCACTGGTCAGTAAATGAATGGATGCAATTTTGTTCCAGTCCTTATTAATAAATGTTGTAATGTTTCTGTCTCCTTAGGCTTTTCTCCATATCTAATGTTTGTTTTCATAATGCTCTTTAGTTCTCTGAAATGTACTCGGTTTACCCACAGTTTGCCCTTCAAAACGTATAATATTTTTCCCTTCGAGATACAGTAATTACCTAGAAAAATATTCTCTGACTTTACCTACTTTGTCATTTAACTAACAAAGTTTGTCAGGCAATTAGGGATCAGAGCTGTCAGCCCCGTGTGTCTCCTGGCCTTGGGAATAGCCTAATCCTGGCTGGTGTGAAATCTTAGGCTAAACTAGGAAGTAGGTAAGAAAATGAAGATATTATCGCTAACCTTTTATTCCGTATTCTTTTTCCACTAGATGGCACCTGTAAAAGCCTGACAGTGCTTTAGTGCCCTCTGCCACTGTGTATTGTGTGGGCTTTTGTTGCGTTTTAATTTTCCTTGTCTTTTGGTTCTCAAATACATCCCTATATTTTGCTCCCTACACAAAAAAATCTGTTGTCATGGGTATGCCCTAACATTCAAACCTAGTTCCTGAGTCTTAGCTGCTTTGGTAATTTGTTCTCAAAGGCAGTGGTCCTGGGGAGCCTTAAATATTTTCAAGTAATGTTATTAAACCTGTTACTCAAAAGATTTTAAGTCAAGATTTTTTGCTTACGGGGGTTTCACGGCTTGAGGAAAGGGTCATTTATCTGTCTGGAGGGTATATTTCACACTTCAAACTCTAGATTTCTTTTAGTATTTCGTGCTGATTAAAATCCTTTTCAAAGGAAGGACGAGCAAATTGCATTATTCGCTCCTCTTGGGTCTCTCAGCAATAAAAGTAGGATAGAGCAGTCCCTCCCTTCGCCCTCCCACCCATCAGTAAACAAGTGACCTTTTATTTCAGTCTTCTTTTGGAAGTGGCCATTATTCAGCTGCCTTTGTCCAGTCCCTACGGTGGTGGGTCCTGGCTCACGGCCACGGTTCCTGATAGATGGTTATGATGATGATAACGGTTAACACACAAGTACTTTATTTTGTGTGGGAGTAGTTCCTCTAAGTCATTGCTGTCGTAAAGAACAACGAATGGTAAAACAAATAGATTGCTTCCATTCCTTAGAAAGCTGCACAATTCAATGTGTATACTTGCCTCTTTTGCTTTCCAGATGTTTGCTGCAGAAACATGCAGATGCTGACTGAGTCTTGTATCTCTTCCAGGCCCTACTGGAAAGGGTGGGTTATGGCTGTTGTCATTCTGGGATTGTAGAAATTGAGTCAGCCAGGGATTTAAGTATGCGCTTGAATCCAGTTGCGTTCAGTAGGGCCTTTTTTGCATCTGGCTGTGTGCTCGGGTACCTTCCTGACTCAGTCCCGGAGCTGACGGGGAGCTGGAGGACTCTGGTGTCCCTGTATTTCATAATGACTCTACTGCTCCATACTGGCGGCTCTTCAGAAGCTGCCCGACGATGATTATTTCTCTGTTTAACAGGGCCGTTGCTTGTTTGCCAGTGGCAGTCCCTTCGAGCTGGTGACTCTGAAAGATGGAAGAACCTTCAAACCAGGCCAAGGAAACAATGCTTATATTTTTCCAGGTAATTAATAAAATTGTCTTCTTTTAATCTTTAAGACTAGGCGATTAGCACCTCTTCTTGGGCTCCCTTGCTACACTAGGCGCAGTTAGGGAAGCAGCATGAAGAGGTGTTACCAGAATTTAAAGCCGAGAACTCAATCAGAAGAATGAATTGAAGAAAATCAGTTAAGGATGGATGTTAGGCATGTGCAGCTACATGTGCGACATGCAGAGAGTGAGCTCACCCAACTGGATATTTCTGAGAAAACAAAAGGGTGTTATTAAAGGCTTTGAAAGCTGCTGTGTTATGGGTTCTTCTGCTTGGTTTTTTTGGGGGGGGGGGGAGGAGAAAAGAAGTGGAAAT